GAGTCCCAGACCTGGTGGCTTAAACTCAAGCTGGGCACATGTGCGTGCGTGCCCAAGATCCCGAGAGGAGAATAGAGGAGAAGGGACTGCGGCGTGGCCATCCCCCCGGAGGGTGATTTCTCACTTTCTGTCTCTCTGTCTCTCTCTGTCTTCCTGGCAAACGCACATGCCCTATAGCAAAAACCTCTCTAAAAAAAAGATTAAGCATGCACAGCAAAAGATTAACGACCAAGGAATCTATGTGAAAGACACAGGAGTTCTTTGTACCATTCTCCCAATTTTTCTGTAAACAGAAATTATGACAAAAAAGTACACATAAGGGGGAGATAAACACATTGCCCAAGAAATAAAAGCTAAGAGAATTTGACAGCAAACCTGTACTACAAAAAAAAATACTAAACTAAAGATATATGAGGTAATTTAGGATAAAAGAATACCACACTGAAACTCAGATCTGGACAAAGAAAAAAAAAAAAAACACTAGAAATGAAATATGGATAAATATAAAAGACCACTATTTTTTGAAGTCGAATCAATAGTGTATCTATAGGGATATGTAACAGACAATTAGCAATACATATTTATTAATAATAACTGCATAATGTTTCAAAAAAGCATGAGACACTGAAATGCCATTTATTTATACCTACCAATTGGTCTTGTCCTCCACAGTATCCTTATAGAAGGCTAAGTATTTATTAAAATTAATGCTACCACTATTTTAAATATCCTGACCTCTGTCAGAATTACTTTCAGTGACAACTTATGAACTAAGAACCTGCAAGTATTTTTACTTAATATTTTCAAATGCCTTGTTATCTGAAATAATAATGCCCAACTTATGTATCTTTTCATTCAGTGGAAGTCTCTAAAGGACCTTTCACTGTTTCTAAAAAATAAATCTAACTGGAGATGATGAATGCACATACCACATCAGTGTTTACTGAAGTGAACTAGTTTAAAAATTTTGGTGATAGCAGTAAAAATAATTCCAATAAACAGGTACAAAAGTGTCCTGAGAAATTACAACACCACTGTCCCCCAAATCACTAGACACATTAGACATCATACATTCTAATATATACCTATATAAAATTTTTTGAGGTTTTTGCTACAGGGAGCATGTGTATGCCAGAAAGACAGAGGAACAGAGACACAGAAAGTGAGAAATCACCCCCCAGGAGGGATGGTCACACCACAATCCCTTCTCCTTCATGCTCCTCTTGGGATCTTGGGTGCGCACGCACACATGCACACATGCCCGGCATGAATTTAAGCCACCAGGTCCAGGACTCAAACCATTGTCGACTACATGGGAGTCCAGTGACATAGCCATTACGTCAACTGTTGGTCCCTAAATCTTTTCAAATTTTAGAAGACATTTTAATAAAATCTCATTTATATAGTGGTCACTGAGTAACCTCAACTATAAAGATGGCAAAAAGCCTAGCCATGAAGGTACAGGTGGCAGGGCACCGATCTGTAATGCTGGAGCCACATAGAACACTAGAGTTTGGATTCTGCGTCAACCGGAAAAACACCGGGCACATTGTGTGTCAATGATCTAGCTGGTTGGAAGAACTGGCGGGGGTAACAGGGTGTCACAGTGTGCTGAGACTCTGTTAAGGGTGCTTATTTTTCTCTCTCTCATAAATAATTAAAAGTAAAAATAAAAAGGGGGAAGGGCAATAGAGTGAAATTATAGAAATAATTCTCAACAAGCAAATAAATTTGGCTTCTACACCCACAAGAGATTAGAACACCAAATACGGGGACCAGTAGATGGAAGTATAGTTACATCAGTAGACTCCCATGTAGTCAACCATCATTCAAGTCCTGGACCTAGCAGCTTAAAACACGCTGGGTACATGTGTGGGTGTGTGCCCAAATTCCCCAAGAGGAGAATAGAAAAGGGATTGTAGTGTGGTCATCCCCCTGGAGGGTGATTTCTCACTTTCTGTCTCTGTCTCTCTCTGTCTCTTCAATGAGCACATACATCTGATAGCAAAAATCTATCAAAAAAAAAAACAAAAAACAAATATGATAGAGCTCTTGTAGTTCTAAGAAAGGAAATAGTAACAAAGACAGATTGGAAAAAAAAAAAAAAAACCTCAGATAAAGTATCCATTGATTGGAACACTTCCTAGTACTCTGAGACTCAAAAAACTTTACTAGTGTAAAATAATAATTAATATTTATAATGAGGACTTTTCTCATTAGTATAATACATTTAAGAAAGTATAAAATAGGGTCACTCTGTGGCATACTGATTATGGAAGCTGTATTCCACATGGCCAACCACATGGCTCAAATCCTGTAGATGCCAGCTTGAAAAATATGCTGGGGTGCATGCATGTATGTGCTCAGAATGCCAAAAGGAGGGAGAAATGGAGGAGAAGAGATTGTGGTATGACCAAGCCCCATGAGGGTGTGTTCTCCCTTTCCCTCTCTTCTGTCTCTCTCTGGCAAGTGCATACACACTCTGGAAAATTTACAAAATAAAAGGAAAAAAGATATTAAGTATATCATATTGCTTCAAATATTTTTGTTTAAAACACTTTAAGTAATTTTTGCACTTGAAGTAAATGCCACCTATCTTCAAAATTCAACATTTCCTCAATTCCTAATCATACTGAATATAGTGCTATGATGTGTTGATTTGCATTGTGTCTCTCCAAAATTCAGATGTGGAAGTCCTAGTCCCTAACAGCTAAGAATGTAACTATATTTGGAGACAGGGCCTTTAAAGAGGTAATTAAGTTGAAATGAATTCATTTGAGTGGGAAATAACCCAATTTGACTGGTGTTCTAAGAAAGGAAATTTGGAGACACAGAAAGAGGTCAAGGATTCTCAAGCACAGAAAGATGCTATATGAGGACAAAGCAACAACACGGTAGCTATCTACAACCCAAAGAAAGAAACCTAAAACAAATTCTTCCCTTACAGCCTTCAGCAGAAACTCTGCTGACCCCTTGGATCTTGGACTTCCAGCCTCCAGACTGAGAAAACAGATTTCTTATTAGCCATTCTGTGGTATTACTTTTTTTTTTTTTTTAAAGAACTACTAATTTAGGGACAAGCAGGTGATGTGGTGGTTAAGGTGCTGGACACTCCCACATGACTAACCACAGTTCAAGTCCTGGAGGTGGCTTGTTTTCTCACTTTCCCTCTTTCTCACTCTGTATCGTTCTCTGGTCAAAATGAAGATATATGAATGAATAAATAAAATAAAATAAATAATTATTAATTTGGGACCAGCAGTTGGCATAATGGCTATGTCACTGGACTCCCATGTAATTGACCATGGTTCCAGTCCCAGACCCGGTAGCTTAAACTCACACCGGGCGCATGTGCATGCATGCCCAAGATCCTGAGAGGATAATGGAGGAGAAGGGATTGTGGCATAGCCATCCCCCCCGGGGAGGGGGGTGATTTCTTGTTTTCTGTCTCTCTGTCTCTCTCTCTCTGGTGAGCACACGCACCCTATAGCAAAAATCTCTCCCCCCCAAAAAAAAAGAATTATTAATTTAATTTAATTTATTCACTTATTTTCATTTGATGAGAAAGAGACATGGGGGAGAGAGAGGGAAAGTGAGAAAGTAAGCTGCCAGGTGCAGGACTCAAACCACAGTTGGCTATGTGGAAATCCAGCACCTCAACCACCATGCCACCTGCCAGCCCCTCTGTGGTACTATTTTATGGCAGGTCTAGCAAACTAGTATATAATGTATTCATTATTTTCAAAGATTTAATACATGTAGTGTGTGTCTGATAAAGCATTTTTTCTAAAGTATCAGAAAACAAAGAATAAAAGTGAATGTTTTATTTTTCCCCATAAAAGACAAAACCCTAATGAGATAGCATTTCACATCCATTTTTTATTTACAAAAACATGGAAAATAACAAGTGTTGGCAAAGATGTGAAGAAAGAGGAACCCTTAACCATTGCTGGTGGGAATGTTAAATAGTTCAATTGCTGTGGAAAACAGCAACTTTTATGGCTCCTCAGAAAGTTAAATACAAAATTACCATATGATTCAGTAATTCCACTCCTAGATATATACCCCAATGAATTAAGAGTCTCAAAGAAATGTTTGTGTGCCTACATTCAAAAGCAGCATTATTCTCAATAGCCAAAAGACAGAAGCAACCCAGTGTCTATCAACAGATGGATAAACAAAATGTGGCATATCCATACAGTAGAACATTATTCAGACTTATCTGGGATGAAATTCTCTTTTTATTTTCTTTTTTTTAAATATTAAATATTTATTTGAATAACAGGTTTGAGCTGCAATGTTGGCAATACAGATTTTTAACAAAGATTGGGATAAAATTCTGATACAAAATACAACATGGATGAACCTTAGAAACAGTATACTAAGGGGACCAGCAGATGGTATAATGGTTATACCACTGGACTCCCATGTAATTGACCGCAGTCTGAGTCCCAGATCCAGGCTCTTAAAGCTTACACCAGATGCATGTGTGTGCGTGCCCAAAATCCCAAGAGAAGAATGGAGGAGAAGGGATTGCAGCGTGGCCATCCCCACTGGGGGGCGAGGGGGTGCTTTCTCACTTTCTGTTTCTCTGTCCCTCCTATGTGCGCATGCAAACTATAGCAAAAATCTCTCTCAAAAAAAAAAAAGAAAAAAAAGAAAAGAAATAGTATACTAAATGAAATAAGTCAGACATAAAGAATAAATATAGTATGATTCTACGTATATGAAGGGCCAAGAATAGGAAAATTCAAACAGATAGAAAGTAGAAAATGGTTACCAAGGGACTAGAGAAGGCAGAAAATGAGGTGTTATTGTTTAACGGGTAGAGTCCCTGTTCGGGATGATCAGTAACTTCTGAAAAATGATAGTGGTGATGGTGGCACAAAGTTGCAAAAATGCTTAATGCTACTTAATTATACATTTAAAAACTAGTTTAAATGTTTTTTTTTATGTTATAAGTTTTAACACAATACAATAAAGAGAAAAAAATACAATACCTGAGGAAATGGAATGTCATAATCCCTGTAGAAACCAGTTCTTTTTTTATGGGAACTTTCTGTATGTTCGACATCTGAATCAAGGCTGTAGTCTGAACTATCATCGCTAGATGGAGAATTATGCTGAAGGGAAGGAAAAGACAAATATGTTAAATTTGCAAATGGAAGAAAGTTTAAGTAGTAACTAGATAAATTTGTTTTGCCCAGAGGTTCCAACCAGCAATTTTATCATTCGAGAAAATTCTGAAGTATTACTGAAAAATTCTTGATCCAAATGTCACTACCACCCCAACTGACTCCCTCAATCAGATACTGTATTCATCAAATATTTTTGAGAGGCATAAAGGCTATTTGGGATATTTCCAAGGTGGAAAAGACTCCTCATACTTGTGGGGCCTCCCTCGTTTCACTTTCTACCCTTTTGCTTTAAACATTCAACAGTTCTGTTCTCTGCCCCATTCCTTAGAAAAAGTTCTCTTATAAATCTTTGCGCTCTCATGGACCTTTCAAAATTACTCCCAACACTACATTTCCGATGGAAATTCTTCTCCCTGTATCTTTAATTCATTTAGTAGAATTTCTTCTGGATACTTCATTTTGCCTAAAATTCAGTATCCATTATCCTTTTTCCTAAGCTAGCACTACTTTCTGACACTCATGTATCAATAATAACTACCATTTTCCTCAGCTTTAAAAAGGTAGGAGTCTGGGGCTGGCAGATGGCATGGTGGTATAGGGTGCTGGATTCCCACATGGCCAATCGCGGTTCAAGTCCTTGACCTGATGGGTTGCTTTCTCAATTTCCTTCTCTCTCTCTCACTCTGTCCCTCTCTGGTCAAATTAAAACAAATAAATAAATAAAATAATTCTTAAAAAAAAAAAAAAGGAGTCTAGGTCCAGCATGTGACATTATGGTCAAGGTGCTATAGTGCTAAATGGCCAACTGTGGTTTGAGCATGGCCCTGGCGGCTTGACAATCAGGCTAGTTATGTGTGCCAGCAAGCCCAGAACTGTCTTCTGGACTGGCTTCCTCAAATTTTTCAACATTCAGTCTACCCAATGTCCCAGTGTTACCACTGGTTAACATTCCTAAAATATCACTATCATGAAAAACTGCTTAATCATGGACCAGCAGATGGCATAATGGTTATGTCACTGGTCTCCCATGTAGTCAGTCGCAGTTTGAGTCCCAGACCGAGTGGCTTGAAATTCACGCCAGGTGTGTGTGTGTGTGTCCCCCCTAAGATTCCAAGAGGAGAATGGAGAAGGGATTGCACCATGGCCATCCCCCCAGGGGGTGATTTTTGGCTTTGTCTCTATTTGTCTCTCCAAGAGGAGAATGGAGGAGAAAAGATTGCAGAATGCCAATCTCTTCAGAGGGACAATTTCTCATTTTCTTCTCTATGACTTTCTTTGGCAAGTGCATGTGCCTTCTGGCAAGAATGTAAAAAAAGAAATTAATGTAGGTGTCATTTTTAATTCTTTGCTTTCACTTCTCTGTAAATTTCATTAATTCCTTCTATGGGATTTCTTTCTTTCTTTTTAAAGAGACTTTTGCTATGGGGCATATGCGCTCACCAGAGAGACAGAGACAAAAAGCAAAAAATCACCCCCCAGGGGGATGGCCATGCCGCATTCCCTTCTTCCCCATGTTCCTCCTGGGATCTTGGGCATGCACACATACATGCCAGCATGAGTTGTTTTTTGTTGTTGTTGTTTTTATTTTATTTATTTATTTATTTAAATTTAACCAGAGACAGACAGAGTGAGAAGAGAGAGAGAAAGAGAAAGAAAGTGAGAAAGCAAGTAACCAGGTCCAGGACTCAAACCACAGTCAGCCATGTGAGAGTCCAGCACCCTTAACCATATCACCTGCCAGCCCTCTCAACATGAGTTTTAAGCCACTGGGTCCGGGACTGGAATCAGGGTTGACTACGTGGGAGTCCAGCAAAGTAACCATTATACCATTTGCTGGTAACCCTCCCGCACCCCCCCCCGCCTTTTTTTTTCCCCCAAGAAAGAGATTTTTGCTATAGGGCACATGTACTCGACAGAGAGAGACAGAGAGACAGAAAGAGAGAAACCAACCCTCGGGGGTATGACCACATCACAATCCTTTCTCCTCCATTCTCCTCTCTAGATTTTGGGCATGCATGTCACGTACACAGCATGAGGTTTAAGCCACCAGCTCTGTGGGTCTATGATTTGAACCACAGTCAACTACATGGGAGTCCAGCAACATAACCATTACACCATCTGCTGGTCCCCTACTGGTCCCTCTTCTATGGGATTTCTATTGCTCAGCATTCTTACTACCACAAACTTGGATCAACCTCTCATTCTTTAAAATATCAAATTTCAATATACTTTGTCTAAAACAAATTCTCTATAGAACAAACAGTAAATTATACATTAGCACATAAGAATAAGATCCAGAATACTATATACAAACTGCTGTCTCTGGGGAATGAGATTAGAGGCACCACTCCTTTTAAATTTTCTCTGCCACTATTAAATTTTTAAATAACTCTGTGCTATTTTAGTAATCAAAAACAAATAATACAAATAACACAAAAGTGTATTTCAATGGCCAATTAGAGCAACAAACAAAACCATCTTCTGGACTGGCTTCCTCAAAAATCTTTCAAACATTCAGTCTACCCTACATCCCAATGTTACTACTGGTTAACATTTCTAAAATGCCACTATCATGTAAACATGCTTAATCATGGACTAGCAGATGACATAATGGTTATGTCACTGGACTCCAGTTGACTGCAGTTCGAGTCCCGGGCCCGGCAGCTTAAAACTCACGCTGGGCACGTGTATATGTGTGCCCACGATCCAGAGAGGAAACTGGAGAAGAAGGGATTGTGGCATGGCCATCCCATCTGGGGGGTGATTTCTCACTTTTTCTGTCTTTCTATCTCTCCAGTGAGTACACGTGCCCTATAACAAAAATCTCTCTTTAAAAAAAATGCTTTATCAACCAACATACTTAATAGAAATGCTGTTTCTCTAGAAATGTGCTGCCTCAAGTGTCTTAAAACATAGAAGTAGGGACCAGATGGCGGTGCAACAGTAAAAGGCAATGCTCTCTGGGGCTGACCCACAAAGGGAAGTTCTAGGTTTGTATCTCAAGACTTCCCTGAGTATACCCAGGACATGCATGGGCACATGCACGCACCCATGATTCAGGGCTGGCTGAAGCAGGGGGTGGATCATCACATCAAGACCCTGTTTTGAGTGGTATCACTAGCTCAGTCTCAGAAGAAATCAATTTTAGGGGCCATTAGGTGGTGTGGTGGTTAAAGGTACTGGGCTCCCACATGGTTGACTGTGGTTTGAGTCCCAGACCTGGTGGCTTGCTCTCTCACTTTCTCCCTCTCTCTCTCTCTTGCTCGGCCCCTCTCTGGGTTAAATTAAAATAAATAAAGTTAAATAAAATAATTCTTAAAAAAAAAAAAAAAGATAGGACCATAGGACCATATTCCTGTCTTCCTGCTCTTAAAAAAAAAAAAGGGTGGGGGATGAATTGGTCAAGAAAGCTTTCTTAGCTTCGTGATTTTAGGATTATCTCTTCTATTAGCATGAAGTATTCAAAAATATAGCTGAGTACCTTCTGAGATATGCCTCTTTTGTTCCCATCCCCACATTTGTTACCATATCTTTCCTTATCCCTAATACACATACCTGTTCATCAATTTAGGTTCAACTTCCAGAATTTGTATCATCTATGTGGGACTATGACCTAGAAAAGGATGTGGTCAGGTCCTGACCATTCTAGTAACAACCAAGTTCCTGTGGTTATCCTATACTCATGTGTGAACTGGAATTAATAAAGTCATCTCACAGGTTCTGTTGCTGTTCTAAAGTAGAGACTCACTACCCTTTTCATACTGAACTTTTCCATAGAGGACTGTTTCATTTTAGAGAAACACTGTTTAGGAATTTGTTTTTCTAGAAGTCTTTTTACTTTCCCTCTGCTTCATTCCTTTCCATTCTGATACTATACTGGTCTTGTTGCTGTCTATAGTTTGGCTCCACCTATTTTGTTTCTTTTTTTTAAGAGGTGTTTGCCCTAGGGCATGTTCACTCCCTGGAGAGAGAGACAGAGACAGTGAGAGGGAAAGTGAGAAATCATCCCCCAAAAGAGATGGCTACACTGTAATCCCTTCTCCTCCACTTTCCTCCCGGGGTCTTGGGCATGTACCCACACATCCTGACATGATTTTCAAGCCACCAGGTCCAGGACTTGAACTGCAGTCAGCCTTGTGGGAGTCCAACAACACAGCTGTTCCACGTTTTGCTGCCCTCCCCCCATCTATTTGTTTTGTTTGTTTGTTTTGTTTTTGCTTTTAATTTGCCACAGAGTGCATTCACTTGCTGGAGAGACAGAGAAAGGGAGAGAAGAAAAGCAGCCCTCAATGGGGTGTGGTCATGCCAAATCCCTTCTCCTCCATTTCTCCATCCTATTGGGATTTTGCACACCCACACACACATACTTCACATGTTTTTCAAGCCTTTGGGGCCAGGATTCAAACTACATAGTCAGTCATGAGGGATCTAGCTCCCTTAACCACTTGCCAACGGGACCAGCTCTCCACTTGTATTTTTGAGGGTTGTGAAGTAACTTGTTACCTACTTTTTTGTAAACAGTAAGTTTTTGATTTTGCTATCCTAATTGCTCTGTTTTTATGGGGGAAATTAAAAAAATACTCCAATGCTGCTGTCAACTTTCCCAATTATTCTGTCAGTATAAGGTCTCCTTTTTCTTGACCCAAGTGTACATTCTATTCCATCTGGCACTCTTCTGTCTTAATAGTATTTGTTTTTCGTTTGTTGCTTTTCTCCTTCTCATTTCAATGTAAAATCTGTAAGAACTAACCATTTTACTCACCACACCCCTAGTATTATGCCAAAAATGCTACCACAATAAGCACTTGATAACACATATAAATGAATGAATAAATAAATAAATGAATAGAGGAACAGTGCCAATATTGGTAACCTAAATCTGTAGAGAATGAAACTTCTGGATCAGCCCATGGTATGGTGGTTAAAGCACTGAATACCATATGGCTGACTATGAGGTTTAAGTCTTGGATCTGGTAGTTTCAAAAACATGCTAGGAGTGTACATGCCTCTTCCTTTCAGGAAAAGGAAGGAGAGGTGGAGAAAAAGGTTTGCAGTGTGACCATTCCCCATGGGAAATGCTTTCTCACTTTCTCTCTCTCTTTTCTCTCTGTTTCTCTCTGGCTAGCATACACATTCTAGCAAATTAAAAAAAAAAAAAAAAAAAAAAAGAAATAGAGAAAATAAAACTTTCCTTACCCTTCCAATAATCATGTATACAGTCTTCCATCAAATAAAAGATTAGCTCATCTGTATTAAGACTCATCTTGGAACCAGTAGTTAGTGTAATGGCTATGTTGCTGAACTCCCACGTAGTCGAGTGCAGTTCAAGTCCCAGACCCGGTGGCTTAAACTCACACTGGGTGCATGTGCGTGCATGCCTAAGATCCCAAGAGGAGAATGGAGAAGGGATTGCGGTGTGGCCATTCCCCCTAGAGAGTGATTTCTCGCCTTCTATCTATCTGTCTCTCTGTCTTTCTGGTGAGTGCATGAGTCCTATAGCAAAAACCTCTCCAAAAAAAAAGATTCATCTTGATTAAAAAAATATTTAAGATATTCATATAACCTTTATGTTTAAAAGATATGCTAATATGGGACCAGCAGATGGCATGATGTTTGCATTGCTGGACTCCCATGTAGTCAACCTCAGTTCAAGTACTGGACCTGGTAGCTTAAAACTCATGCCAAGCACATGTGCATGCATGCCCAAAATCCCAAGAGAAGAGAGGAGAAGGGACTGTAGCGTGGTCATACTCCCTGGGGGCTAATTTCTCTCTTTCTGTCTGTCTCTCCAACAAACACACATGCCCTATAGCAAAACCTCTCTTAAAAATAGATGCTAATCATATAAATAACAAAATTATACGTTTTATTTTTAAAATTTTGCCAGAGGATAGAGACAGGGATAGGGGAGAAACAAAAATGCACTTTTCAGGGCCAACAGGTGGCATGGTGGTTAATGTGCTGAACTCCCATATGCTCGACCATGATTTGAGTCCAGGACCTGGTAGTTGGCTTTCTCCCGCTCCCTCTCCCTCTATGGCTCTCTCTAGTCAAACTGAGTAGTAATAAATAAAATTAAATAAATAATTATTTTCTAGAAAGTATTCTTCATGGAGCATTATCACACCACAGTTCCTTCTCCATTTCTCTCTCATTTCAGAATTTGGGGCACACACTCACATGTGCCAAATCTAGGGCTCAAACCAAACAGTCAGCTATGTGGGATGCAGTTACCTTAACTACCAGGACCCAGGTTGGTCCAATCCATATATTGCATAACAAAACAGGCAATGACATATACCTTCTAATTTTCAGTATTTTACATTTCGAAAATTTACTAAAATGGTTTGAGGGTTAAGGCACTGTACTCCCACATGGCTGACTCCATAATTCGAGTTCCAGACCAGGTGACTTGAAAATCATACTGGAGGACCAGCAGATGGTGTAATGACTGGACACCCATGTAGTCAACTGCAGTTCGAATCCTGGGCCCAACAGCTTAAACTCACGCAAACTCACGTGTGTATGCATGTCCAAAATCCCAAGAGAAGAATGGAAAAGGGATTGTGGCATGGTCATCCCCCTGGGGGGGTGATTCTCACTTTCTGTCTTCTGGTGAGTATATACACCCTATAAAATCTCTCTAAAAAAAAGAAAGAAAATCATGCAAGGAGTGTGTACGTGCATGCTCAAAATCCTGAGAGAATGGAGGAGAAGGGATAATAGCATGGTCATCCACTCTAGGGAGTGATTTCTCACTTTCACCCCTTTGTCTCTCTCTGACTGGTGAGCATACATGCCCTATGACAAAAATCTTGCTTTGATTTTTTTTTTTTTGAGAGATTTTCACTGTAGGGTGCGTGCGCTCGCCAGACAGACAGAGAGAGACATAGAGACAGAAAGCGAGAAATCACCCCCAAGGGGGGATGGTCACGCCACAATCCCTTCTCCTCCATTCTCCTCTCAGGATCTTGGGCATGCATGCACACGCGCCCGGCGTGAGTTTTAAGCCACCGGGTCCGGGACATGAACCGCGGTCAACTACGTGGGAGTCCAGCGACATAGCCATTACGCTAACTGCTGGTTCCCTTGATTTTTTTTTTTTAAAGAAATTTGTGCTATAGGGTTCCTACAATTGCCAGAGACACAAAGCAAAAAATCACCCCCCCAGGGGGATAGCCATGCCACAATCCCTTCTCAATTCTTCTCTTGGGATCTTGAGCATACACACTCATGTCCCCACTGTGATTTTTAAGCCACCAGATCTGGGACTTGAACTGTGGTTGACCATGTGGGAATCCAGCGACGAAACCATTACACCATCTGCTGGTCCCTATGGCAAAATTTAAAAAAATCAAATCTTCAAAAATCTTAAAAAAAAATCCTGAAAGACTAAAAAATAGATTTCAACTAACCTTATGTTTCTCACGTTTTCTCCTTTTGGATTTTTTCTTTTCTCTTTCCTTCTTGTGCTTTTTTCTTGATTTTCTATAGGCTTTCTCATTTTTCTGCTTTTCATCCTCCTTTGTTTCCTGTTCTTGGGTCTCTTCAAATCCTGCATCATCTATTTCACCATCTTCTAATTCACCATCTTCTCTGTAGAAGAAAATGAAAATTTTTATTTTTAAATGTTAATTCTGTAACAAATATTAATAGAAACATTTTCAAAAGAAAAAAGTATGTACCAAGAATTTAAGTTATATTCATTTAGATAAGGGACTGAAAAATTTCTTCTATAGAAGTCCAGATATTAAATAGTTTATATTTATAAGGCCATATATGATTTCTGTTGTAAAGCCTTCCTCTTCTCTTTTTTACAACAGTTTGAAAATTTAAGAAACATTTTCAGTAGCCAAAGTTTTCAAACCTCTGATTTAGATTAAGATGACTGACTCTCACAAAATGAATGATCAAATACAGTGCTACCCCAAAGGATTACAACAGTTACCATCTATTAAGCTACCTTTTAAAAAAAGTTAAACTAAAATACTTCAGGAAACATTCTAATTATAGGAAGTAATTTTAAACTTAGTGGCCTGTAGTCAGCATAAATAGTTTCAGAAAAAGAGCAATTTATAATAATTCTTACTAACAAATTAAACTTCAATAAGTAATCAAATTTCAATATACAGGTAAGTAACAGAAACCAAGCCACAAAAGAAGCACTGTAAATTCCTGTAAAAAGTATTCATAGAGGGCCGGCAGGTGGCATGGTGGTTAAGGGCGCTGGACTCCCACATGGCTGACTGTGGTTCAAGTTATATATATATATATATATATACACACACACACACACATATATGTATATATATTCATAGAAAAATGGGACCACCAGCGGGACCAGAAGTGGCGTGGTAGTTAAACGTGCTGGATTCCCACATTGCTGACCGCAGTTCAAGTCCTGGACCTGGCCACTTGCTCTCTCCCTTTCCTTTTTTCTCTCCCTCTCTAGTTCAAAATAAAGAATAATAATAATGAAATTAAATAAATAATTCTTAAAAAAAAAAAAAAAAAAGGAAAGAAGAATGAGACCAGCAGATGGCATAATGGTTATATTGCTGGACTCCCACACAGTTAACTGTGGTTCAATTCCTAGACCTGGCAGCTTAAAACTAGTGCTGGGCACATGTTTGCCCAAAATCCAGAGAGAATTGAGAAGGGATTGTGGGGTGGCTGTACCCTCAGGGGGTGATTTCTTGTTTTCTGTCTCTCTGTCTCTGGTGAGCCCATGTGCCCTATAGCAAAACTCAATCTAAAAAAAAAAAAAAAAAAAAAGTATTCATAGAAGTTAAAAATCTAATTCTACTATCTAAATACCGATATCTCTGCTATTACGGAGACTGTATCCTAGAAACTGACTTTTATATTGAGTATCACTTTAACAGTTATAGAATCCAAAATTTTCATTAATAATATTTTTACACAAAAATAATCCAACTGATATATATGAAAAGATGAAAACATAAAACAGCTATAACAATTAACCATGCTTCCATAACATTACAGTTTGAAAAAAAATGCAAACTACTACAAATAGTACATGATAGTGCAGAAAGGCAAACATCTATATAACTGGCAGCAACTGAGAAACACCCAACTATGGTATGGGCATTTTCAACGTAATTTGAAATTACAAGGATGTGTAATATCTAGAATGCAAAACTGATCATGCTGCTCTCCTGATAAAACTCTTCAGTAATGATATACTATCTCAAATTTGCTTTAAACTAATCACTAGAGGTGTAGGAAGTGGTCTCACCAAGACTGACTGTGAGTGCTAACTATTAAAACTGTGGTAGGTGTATATGAAGATTAATTCTACTATTCTTTGTATGTTTGAAGTTTTCTATAATAAAAAGATAATCTTCGGGACCAGCAGTTAGCATAATGGCTATGTCACTGGACTCCCATGTAGTCGACCGCGGTTTGAGTACCGGACCGGGTGGCTTAAATTCATGCTGGGCGCATGTGCATGTGTGCCCAAGATCCCAAGAGGAGAATGGAGGAGAAGGGATTGCGGCGTGGTCATCCCCTCTGGGGGGTGATTTCTCGCTTTCTGTCTCTCTGTCTCTCTCTGTCTTTCTGGTAAGTGCACGCGCCCAATAAGAAAAAAAAAAAAAAAACTTCTCCAAAAAAGAAAAAACAAGATAATCTTCAATTGTTCTCCTTTGGCCTGAAGATAATATTAAATCTCCTTGATATTGTCAAAAGGTCCTTTATAACTGATACCCTGCTTACCCAGCTACTTTCAATTTCTTGTCTCTAAGACTTAAACATTGCCTAAAACCTCTCATTGCCCTGCTTGCCTCACTGCTGCCCTCTCCCTGGCTCCTTCACATGGCTAGTTCCAATTTAATATTTATAACCAGTTTAAATATTTCCTCCAAGAATATTTCCTCATTACCTAGATTTAAGTGAGATGCTGTTCCATCTTAGTTATTTCCGAAATAACTCTATTTCTTGTATTACTGCACTCTGGACATTATGTTTAAATATCTTGTTTTATTGATGGCTGAAAGGATTATATGACTGTCTTTCACAGATATATCTCTAGCACCCCTCATAATACTCTGCTGTTTGCTGAATATATTATAGCCAGAACTTTTGCATTAAAGAACAGGCACATGATACTATCCTAAATTGGCAGTAAAGTCATTGTTATTTTTCTCCAGCTTCTATTCTAAAATCAAAGAGACATGTAGGCATGTATTAACTGACAGACCTAAAAAATTCTTGTGAGGTAGACTTGGCATTCTAGTTATTTTAATAAAAATAGCCTAAACTTGTATAAAACTATAAAACCTTATAGCCCAAGAGAATTATTTACCAAATACATATATTTACCAAAAAAAAAGTGTAAGAATGTTTTTTTGCTTTGTTTTTGTTTTAGTTTTTTGAGAGGTTTTCGCTATAGGGCGCATGCGCTCGCCAGACAGAGAGAGAGACATAGAGACAGAAAGCGAGAAATCACCCCCTAGGGAGGATGGTCACGCTGCAATCCCTTCTCCTCCATTCTCCTCTCGGGATCTTGGGCACGCATGCACATGCACCCGGCGTGAGTTCTAAGCCACCGGGTCCAGGACAGGAGCTGCAGTCGACTACGTGGGAGTCCAGCAACATAGCCATTATGCTAACTGCTGGTTCCCGAAAAAAGTGTAAGAATGTTTTTATCAGATTTAGTCATTATAGTAAAAAATTACCAATAACACAAATCTCCATCAATAGGTAAATAGATACATAAATTGTGCTATATATATATATAGCAATACTACTACACAGAGAAAATTAACTACTGCTATACAAAACAATGTGGATACATTTTATGGACATCATAATAACCAAAAGAAGCCAGACACAAGACACTGGTGTAAGCTCCCATTTATATGTACTTTAAGAAGAGACAAAACTGATTTATAGTGATAGAAGTCAGAATAGTGACTGCTTTTTGGAGGGGTATAAACAACAAAAAAAGGGGTACTAAGTAAATTTCTGAGGTATTAAAATATTCTATACATTTATCTGTATGGTGGTTACTATGTATATGTGGAGTATCTAGTAACTTCACAGAAAAACTATATATGGATTTCAACTTCTGCATTAAAATAAACTCAAAATAACTTGTTATAAAAACATCAGTTTGAAAAGAGCCCCTATCAAAGCAACATAAATTCCACTAGAATTAAAGCAAGAACAAACACCAAATTTATGATGAATCTTGGATGAAAGGATAGTGAAATCACTATGCTTTATGGAAAGTTTAAGGAAACAATGCTCCCAAAGAAATTAGAAGTTCACAGATGGATAATTCACTTTAAGAAGGGATGAGATCATGTCGAACATGACGTTGGAATCAGCAGCCAATCCACATCAATTTGCAAGGAGAAAAGTAATCTTGTCATTGCCCTAATTGAAGAGAACCAATGATTAACAGCAGAAACAGTAACACCACAGACATATTAACTGATTCAGCTTACACAATTCTGAGTGGAAAATTAAAGTGGAACAAACTTTCTACAGGTGGGTGCCAAAAACTGTTGCACACAGCAGCAACAGAAAGGAATAGAGGCTTGGACAGAAATTTTACACAAGTGGTATTAAGATGAAAATATCTTGATCAAAGAACTGAAAGAAATTTTTTTTAATGAAACATGGTTTTACCAATTTGACCCTGAAGACAAAACACAATCAAAGCAATAGCTACCAAGAGATGAAAGTGGTCTAGTTAAAGTAAAAGTGGACTGGTCAAGAGCTAAAGTCATGGCAACAGGTTTTTGGGACACTCAAGACATTTTACATTTTTACTTTCTGGAGGGCCAAAGGACAATAACATCTGCTTACTGTGAGAGTGTATTGAGAAAGTCAGCCAAAACGTTAGCAGAAAAGCACCTGGAAAAGCTTCACTAGAGAGTTCTTCACCACAACAATGCTGCTCATTCCTCTCATCAAACAAGAGCAATGCTGTGAAATTATCAGGCATCCACCTAATGTTCTGATTTGGCTCCTTCAGACTTTTCATTTTTCTCTCTCTCTCTCTCTCTTTTTTTTTTTTCCGAGTGTTTTGCTACAGGGTGCGTGTGCTCGCCAGAAAAAGAAAGAGAGAGAGAGACAGAAAGAGAGAAATCATCCCCCAGGAGGAATGGCCATGCTGCAATCCCCTCTCCTCTAGGGATCTTGGGCATGCACGCACACGCTCCCAGCATGAGTTTAAGTCACCAGGTCCGAGGCTTGAACCGTGATCAATTACATGGGAGTCCAGCAACATAGCCATTATGCCAATTGCTGGTCCCACTGACTTTTCGTTTTCTAACCTTGAAAATTTTTTTAAAGGGAACCCACTTTAATTCAGTTAATAATATAAAAAAAGACTACACAGACATGATTAAATTCCCAGGATCCTCGGTTATATAAGGATAGGCAAAATGGCTGGTACCGCTTACAAAAGTGTCTTGAACTTGATGAAACTTATGTTGAGAAATAGGTTTAAGTTTTTTAAATCTGATTTTTTTAATTTAATTTTATTCATTGTCATTATTTTATTTTATTTTAAAAGCTGACCAGAGAGAGACAGCGAGAGGGTGGGAAAGTGAGAAAGCAGC